ATTTATATATCTGTGGCTATTGCCAAAAGTTGATATGTCAAAAATCATGGTTTTCAGCTTTGCGAACCATGATATGTGGTTTTAAAACTTTATATTTTTATTTGCCAAAACTTGATATGTCTAAGGACAATATTATTAAAGATATAAGTTAAAGACTAAACATGATATATTAAATTACCTCATTTTAATATTTGCCAAAATTTGATAAGTCGACATATCAAGTTTTGTCACCATCAGATTTAAAATGTGGACGGATGTTTTATAGACATATCAAGTTTTGGTTACCAGCTGACCACAACATAACCAAATTTTATTGTTGCGCATTTTACTAAATTAAGGTGGTACTTTGGTTGTCTTTAAAGAAAACTATTAGTAAAAGTATGTCGCGTGGAAAGCTGTTAGTTGATATGGTTATTAGCCAACATGAAGATTCGGCGGTTTTAGTAAATTTCGGAAGAAACAGTATTACAGACTGAAAGTGAGGACTTTAAAAAATCAGTGAAAAGTGATATAAGAGGATTGAAAGGTGTTAGGTTGATGCCGAAATTTAAAGAAATAAGTTCAACATTCTGCATCCATGGCCATTCTGAAGAATTAGTGTCATATTTGAATAGTGATAATTCAGATGTAGATGAAGATTATATTCCTTGGACACTTCATCTGACACAAGTGACAATGAGAGGCCAGGTAATATATCAAGCAGTGCTATCTAAAAAGTGTGAACAACAGCCACTTCCAGTAATAATACGGATGATATAGTAAGTAATGTTACTTTTACAAATAAAAGTGACGATGGCAAAGACCAATAAATAGCTCTAATGTTCAACCTAAAAACCTAAATATAACAGGTTAGAAATGGAAGAAAAGAAGATGTTAGGAGAAGAACATAATACAAGAAAGTGTATACAAAAACCTGCAAAAGTATTTCAAGCGCTTACTAGTTGCTGTCGCAATAAATGTCACGTAGAAAACTCTCCATAGATGAACAAAACGAAATTTGTTATGATTTTCTTAAAAAAGTGCAAGACAAAAAACCAAGTAATTTCTGAAAAGAGTGAAGATTGAGTCAAAGAAGACGAAAGAAAAGATAAAGGAGAACGAGGAAATAATAAAAAACAGACAAATTGTGGTTTCCTAATTATATTACATATAACGACAAAACGTCAAAAGTTTGCAAATCATGTTCCAGAATCTACATGGTATCACAAGAGGAAAAATTGATATTTTGATAAAAAAAACAAATATCACACGGGTTTTATAGAACCTAAGTGGATCTGGAAAACGCCAAACAGAATAACGCTCGACCAGACGAAAAAGCTGAAGCTATATAACACATAGAGTCTTTTCCAAAATATGAGAGCCACTAATCTCGAAGACACACAAGTCGACTCTATTTAGCTCCCAATTTAAATATTAAACTTATGTATGATCTTTGTGTATCAAACAGAACAATGCCTGATCATATTCATTTTATGCTAAGATTTTTATAGAACTTGGATATAAATTGAAAAATCCTACTATCGATACATGCAAAACATTGTGATTATCTAGAAAACAAGGAAAAATCTAATAGTGAAGAAATACGTGCAGCCGTAGATGAAGAGAAAAAATAAACACCTTCAGCTAGCAGAGATTGCCTATGGTGAAAACAAGCAGATAATAGAGTTCTCCAGAAAACAGTAGCGATAAAATGGTTGTTTTAGTATTTGACTTACAACAGAACCTACCAACACCCAATTTAAGCACAAATGTAGTCTACTATAAAGAGTGCTCAGGACATATATACTCACATCAGAAATTGCACTGAAAATACCACTTCATGTTTTATGTGGTATGAGGGGTTGTCAGACCGTGGATCAGATCAAGTTGTCTTTTTGTCTTTTAAAAATATTTTGACAGCTTAGTTGATACAGTTGAAATAGTTGTTCTATATCGGATTCTTGTCCCGGACAAAACAAAAATAACATTGTTGCGGGCACTGTCTTTATTTGTTATAGATCAACAACCGTAAATGAATACAACACAAGTTCCTAGATAGTGGGTCATACTAGAATGGAATGTGATGCGACCATGCAAGAATTGAGCGTGCCAAAAAATCGTCACAAATTGAAATAAGGATACCTCATGACTGGTACCAGTTTGTTAGAACTGTCCCCGGTAAAAAGAAGTTCCCAGGTTATCGAAATGCAGAGGAAAGATTTTCTAGCGTATTCAAAACTTTTCCATAATATCTATGTAAAGGCGTGATAAAGGTGTGGATAATGAATATGTGAAATGGCATGATATAAAAGTTCTACGTTTTGGTTAAAGAGTTAGGTGTTATAGACATTAAATATGCACATAAAGGTCTTGACGTTTCTACCCTTAATATTAAACGCAGAGGGCAGCAGATGAATACTACATTAGAACTGTTTATAGTGGACCTAAACCCATAAAAACATCAAAAAAAGGAAGACTTTCTTTTCCTGCTGCAATACCTTGATCCAGTGTGTACCATCCATTTTACCACGGACTCAAGACTAGTGTGCATGTAAATGATGGAATTTAATGTTTTATTTTTAAATGAAAACATTGCTTTTTATGTATGATATGATAACAGTGAACAATAAAAATAATTTTGCTAATTGTTATTACTCATTTCAAAGAGATTTATACTGAAGTTTAAATTTAGATATTCAATAAATTGGTGAATTTTACATTTATTTTATAAATTGATTAAAAGTAACCATCTTTATTAAATATCATGTTTTAATTTCAGTATAAATTTCTTCACTTTTCTACTTTGTAATTATGATATTCACGTATTTTATTTACTTCACTTTGACATGTATATGTCTATATATGCCATCTAAGATATTTGCCAAAACATGAATATGTTAGTAAAATCATTTTTCAATAGAATTTCCAAAAATTAATGTAAACTGTTAGTTTAGTCAGCATTTTATTTATTTATATACGAAATTTTATAAAAATCTAATAAAATTTGAGCGAGTAAAAAATAAAAACAAATTGTCATGAGGTTATATATTTTTAATTTCGCTCTACTGAAAACTTGTTCTATTTGACAATATCAAGTTTTGGCAAATAGCCACAGATATATATTACATATATATATATATATATATATATTATATATATATATATATATATATATATATATAAATATATATTTATATATATATATATATTATAATATATATATATATATATATATATATATATATAATAAAAACTAGAGCTAAGATTAATACTATTACAAAAATTAATATTAAACTCACCAGTATTCCGGACTGAACCGCGTCGATATCCATTAGGGCCGAGCTTTAAACATCCTCTCTGATGTCTTCCTCAGGCTTCCGAGGTCTCAATCTCCGAACCCCCAGACACACTACACTTGTCACTGTTCACTTCACAGTTACTACTGTGTGCCAGTACTAGTAGTGACAGTGAAGTGAACAGTGACAGTGAAGTGAAGAGTGACAAGTGTAGTAGTGTCTGGGGCTCGGAAGACTGAGGACCTCGGAACCATTCGGAAGACATCAGAGAGGATGTCGAAAGCTCAACCCAATGGATATCGACGCGGTTCAACCCGGAAGACTGGTAAGTTTAGTATTAATTTTTGTAATAGTATTAATCTTAGCTCTAAGTTT